TATTTGTCTGCTTTGAAACTTGACCGACTTCCAGTCCCCTATAAATCCCATTTAAACACCTTAACTATAAAGTTTGAGTTTAATTTGTTTTCGAATTTCTAGGGCATAATCCTTTTAACCTTCCTCAAGAAAAATATGGCTTCCTGTTTGGTCTTTTCCCAATCTTTTTTTTAGCCCACCCGTTCGCCAGGCACGCAAGTTCCAAAGCCTTTTCAGATTTTAATTTAGTTTTCGCAACAATTTCGGAGGCAAACTTTTCTATATCAAAAGGCAAAACAGCCGTCCCCTTTACCCTTTATCCACAAGTGGGTTTTGTAGTGCACCAAAGTGCAACCCGCATCCCTCATCTCCTTCTCAAAAGCCTATGCCATATATTCTCAAGTCGCAGCCTCCTTATCCACATTCGAGTGCCTTTTATGCAGGCTTTCCTTGGGTAAAAGTAAAATAAAGGGGAAAAAAGTCATGAGAAGTCTGGCATAAAGTCTCGTCTAGCATCTTGAGGCAAAACTGGGTTGACTTTTGGACTGTGTATGAAAATCATGTTTGCTTAAGTTCTGAAAATTGAATTTGGTTTCAGGCCAGTCACTGTCAAACTGTGCCGGTTGGCCACGTGCCGTGAGGAAAAGTATTCCTGAGTGTGAGAGACTTTTCTCTTGGAGTTTTCCGTATCATGCATGCCTTTGAGTACGATTTTCCTCCTCCTTTCCTCTGTTTTACTATTTTCCTATTTTCCTAATTCCCTGCGTATCCCCTATTGCATAGTTTCTCGCACGTTTTTTCCCATTGCATACTTTGGGGCTAATAAAGGTTTGCTTGGGCATGTTTGAATTCCGTTGGACACCTTTTTTACCACCCCCTCTCCTCTCCTCACCAATCCTCTGCGGCTAATTAAGCTGCCCAAAAGCGGTTGTTTTGGGTTGGCATTTTCCTACACAGAAAATAATGAATGGAAAAGTTAGATTGGTTTTCCTGATCGGAGCATTAGTAACTAATTTCGGTTATACTAGACTAAAATATGTAACTAATAATACTGTTAAGCTAGAAGTACGATGTTTCAATACTAAAAAAGTTGATTTGTAGCTATATCAAAAAATTTTATTATTTATGGGAATACATTTTTTTCGTTTTACATAAAATATTAAACAACTGTTGACACAATAAGCATGATATTTATACTTCAGTATATCTCTGAAACATTATTTTTTGGAAGAATGATTCACTTTTTTATTATCAAGACCGTTTTCTGACTTATTTAAATTTGAAAATACAAAAATAATTTTATACCATTTACTATTTTCTTATCATTTAAAAACAAGGCTTCGCTTACATTATTCATACAGTAAACCACATTTATAAAGTGCTGAAATGTATACTTTAAGAAAGCATATGTGGTAGCTTGCAATCTTAATTTTGGAACCAAAAAATGTACATATTTTTTGGTGCACCATTTTTTTCGCCAGCTTTTTGTTAGCTGCTTTCTACCTTTTGCTGCATTCCCATGAAGCCGGAAATCTGGGGCCTTTTGTTTTATAGAGGAGAACCCTCTGCCATCTAAGATTCGCTGGAAATTTATGCCCAACGCCCGTTCCTCTCGCTTTTCTCCCTAATTCCCTTCCATTCCCATTATAAAAATATACTTTGGCCATTTCATTTCGGTTGCTTTGGACTTTTTCTTGCATATTTTTCACGGGCTGTGGCTTTGGTTTTTGCCCCATTCCCCGTGTTTTTAGCCGCACACACATTAGAAGTCTCTTATGTCTTTGTCTCAGTTTGTGGTGCTCGCAGAGTGCAATTTGTCTGCCCGCCTCTTCTCACTCTGCCTCTTCCCTTCTCATTACCCCACCGATTCTCCGCTTCTCTTCTCACAGTTGAGCAGTCACTGGCGAACGCTTTGGACTTGACTCCCAGCAAAATGCAACGAACGTTGAAGTTGTTAATTGCGATGGTCGTCAGCCGCAACGACATCGCCTCCGTCTATATACACCCGTCTCTTTCTCAAACTCAAATGCTGTCTCTTTCGCCGGCTGAAGGTGCCTGCAAACCTGGCCGAAAACGGAGGTAAGGCCCGGAGACCGGAGCAACCTACTCCCACAGTCAGCGCCATGAAAATGAGCTGCATTCAGAAACGGGGAAACGGCGATAGGAAGAGCGGGGTGCACTGAGAAAAGAATATTTGAAAGTTAATTTACTGAATAACAATATATTTATGCATTATACATTGCATATAAAGAATAATTTATTAAAATTGGTAAAAAAGTTAACATTTCTTGAGCTTAATTATCTCCAAAACATAAGCCAATTAGAATTATTTTAGTGGAAGGTTTCAAAATCACTCTTTGCCACTCACAAATAAAATAATAAGATATTGGTCTTAATTTATGTAAGGATTTCAGTTAGTCAATAAAGGTACTGATATAAAAAAAGAATCCTTTCTGGCCATTTTTAGCTAATTATCTTAAACACATAGGCCTCAACATTTTTTGTAAAATTTTGGAAATTTTAACATAGTATTAGATATCATTCAAAGAGAAATTTTGTTTAATTACATTGCTGTTTTCTTGTATGAGTTAAAATTTGCAGTGTAAATAAAGACAGAGAGCGCGACACACTCTCTAACGTATGAATTCTAAGTCAGAAAAGTGCGATGTTTATCGCCATCATCTACCTACACGTATCCGTACAGCGGGCCTGTAAATTATCCCAAAAAAAACCAAACAGTCCGAAAAGATACTCTGAATCTATGTAACATATCTACATCCCTCCTGCACTGTGGCACTTAAAATTTATAATTATTTTCCGCTTGTTGCATTCGGCCCTCTCTATTTTCCCCTGTTCGTATCTCCTTCTGCCACTCTTCAACTTTGCCATGTGGAAATCTTTCCGTTACTCATCTCATTCGTGGCTTTTTAATTTCCTCTTCTATGGCCTTTCCTTATTTCGCGAACAATGCAACTTTAAAATATTTTCCTTTGGTTTTTCTTATTATTTTTTTTTTGGCGAATCTCTGACATTAACCTAGGGCTGTGTCATCCACCCACATGCCCCCTTTTCTCCGACCAAACCATACTTCTTTCCCCCTTTTCGCTGTCTCTGATGTTTACCTTGTTGCTGCCTCGCTGACTTCGTTGTTGATTGCCAGCTGACAGCGGCAGCAGCCACAAAAATAAAGTAAAAAAAAATGAATAAAACCAGACAAACCTCAACTTAAAACTCTTTCACATGGAATTTAAAGCTCAGCGGCTGATTCCAGATGCGGGCTCAGCATAACCAATTAACCATGAGAAGCGCTCTGGAAGCCAGCGATCTATCTTTCAGTCTATCCATCTTTCAAACTGAATATCCATCTACTTGTGCAGAGATATGTTTATTAAACGGGGCACCTATGGGCACTACAAATGTGGTTAAAGCTTCTGACATAAAAAATTTTAATTTTAACAGAGATTACTATTTTAATTGATCTTGCGATCTATCTAGATCTTTTAATTAAAAATATAATCCTAATGACGATTTATCAATCAACTCTTTATACCACCTGAAAAGCATTTTTAAATCCATAAGTAAATCGTCCGGTTTGTTACTTAATCAGTTTAAATCCAACCATTTTTAGTTCTCTCGGCACCTCTTAAGATCATTTAATACAACCAAACAAAATAGTTTATATTCTTCTTTCACTTCTTTTCTGGTCACATTTTGTTTATAAAACAGACGTGTTGATTGGTCGCCTCCATCGACTTTGTGCCATCTCAAACTATATTTAGTATGTGGTACATAGCACGATAGATTTAAAGTCTTGAATGCCAAGGTCCGGCTAGAAGCACTCATAAATTGGATATGTTTATAGAGGGTGAAGAGAAAACGATAAGCAATAAAACCACTGGGGAACATTAAATCATTAAAGCGGGCACACGTTTTTGGTTGAAACTTGTATTACAGCAAACTGTAGTTTTTTTTTTGCAATTCTTTAAAGTTTTATCTTAATGTATTCATGACCCTGAGTGCGTTTTAGTTATTTATTTATATTCTGACAAATATAAGTCAACCAAATAATAAAAATTTCTGGATTTGTTTTTGAACAAAAAAACATTAGATTAACCATTAAATCTGTGTTACTCAAAAAAAATGTACGACAAATTTGATTTATGTATGATTCATGTCTGACCTAAAAGACCTAAATATCATAAGATTTCAATATAGTTTAATTAAATTAAAATTAAATCCGAACTTAGTTTTTATTGGCTAAAAAAAAATTCTTAAATCGATTTTAACTAAAGGGCTTAATTTGTTATTCAACTTAAATAATTATTTATCAACAAGCAATTAAATAAACACTTAATTTAAAGTTGGCGCCCTCTCAGCTCCCACGCATGCGCTCCACTCTCTCTGGGTCGTTCTCTTTCTTTGGCTATAGAGCGCTCTCACTCTAACGCACACAGCTCCAATTGAACGCCAGGCTTTGGTATTTTTTAGTGCATCTCGAGAGCTGGCGACGACGCACAGTGGATCAGCGTATTGATATTTTGGTTATATATAAGATTTTGTATTTAATATAGGTAATAAGTAAAAAATATATCATATATTAAGTCATATATCATATATTAATAAAATTCTTATAATCTAAAATATATAAACAAACATTTATAAATACCTAAATGTTTCAAATGGGTTATTTAGATCTCTTTAAGCGTATCCTTCGCCATTTATGCGTTTTATTCCAAAAAACGAACGATTTTATTTAAACTCACGATAAAATATTTGTGGCCTAAATTTGTGAAATACGGATATGAATCCATAAAAAAATTGTCTGTTTTAAAATAACAAATAAGTAAACAAATACGGAATATGATTTAACTTCGTTTTGTATCATGTTTAATACATATTTCAATAACCGCTTAAACGCCAGATTTTTAGTCATCATGTGTCATTTCCGGCCCACTGTGCGTCGGCAGAGCAGAGCGACTGACGCAGCGGCAGAGGCCGGGGCAGCGAACAACATTTGGTATCTTTCAGTTGCCGTTTTTCCGTTGCCGCAACCAGACGTTTGAGCCGGTTTGAATTCGAAAATCTTGCTCTCTTTTTCGCGCTCGTGTTTTTGTTCTTTACGAATTCAAAACAAAAACAACTACCGAGGAGCGGACGCATTTTGAGTTATTTTTAAAAAGAAGAAGCTGCAGATCTGCTCTTTTTTCTCGGTTTCTCCATGCCGAAACCGAAATAAAACCCAACAACAACCGAAAACCGATTTTGTGAGTGCAATAAACCAAACTGCATCGGTGTAAATATGCGTGTTTGGTTGTGTGTTTGTGCGGTGCATCTACGAAAATAAAACACGCATCAAAAATCATACTATAAATATATATACTCTCATCTATAGTCTAACCGATACGAGTGAAATTATTTGCTTAGAAATTGGTTGGCCGAAAATTTGAAAGCCCCAATATTTACATATAAGCCGCAGTTTGACAGTCACCCAACGGGAACGCAAAAAACCCGTCAAACGGGTTAAAAAACTCGTAAAAAAAGAGATATTTATGAAAAATCGTTACTTTTTTGTGTGAGCCAAACAGCCGAAAGCAAAAAATCGGCAAAAATTATAGCAATTACCACAGAATATATCTTTAGACCCGAGAACGCCCTCAAAGAAAAACCCTGCAGTTCCAAGCCAAGTTTTGTGAAGTAACGTAGCAACAACTGCAATTTCAGCATCAGCAGCATCTATGAAAAACAGTAATTTGATCTAAGAACGCCCACTAAACAAGAAGAACCTTTGAAGGAGTTAACTAAAGAAGCCACAACAATAACAACAGCTGCAACAATTGTAGAAAAAAAACCTGTGCGTTTATTAAAAGCTTTTGTTAGAGGTTTAGATATAAGATATTATATCTTTATTAGCAGCATAACAGAGAAAAATATATCTCGAATGAAAAAATACATTTTTAAATGCAGCAAATGCATTTTTAAATCAACATTAAAAAAAAAAAACATTAAAACCATCAACCTATCAAGATACCGTATGAATTTTGAGCAATAAAAACAAAATACGAGCAACAACATCGAAGAAACATTCAGTATTTTAGCTTTAAAGATTACGAGAAGGTGGTTTTAATGAAGTCTTAGACCAAAATCTTAAAAGCAGCTACAACAGCAACTGCAGCAGCAACAATCGCCGCAGCAGTAACTACTGCAGCAGCAGCAGCAACATCAACAGTGGCATTTCATAGCGAAGGCGCCGAAAGACGTTGGGTGCGTCAGGCAGTCATGGGGGTATTGAGGTGGCGCGATTCCCCCGGATCGCGTATATCGGGCTCAATTGGCAGCAGCAGCAGCGGCAACAGTAACACCAACAACAATCATCACCATAGCAGCAGCAACAGCAGCAGCAACAACGCTCATCAGCAGCAGCAGCAGCAACACAACAACAACCACATCAACAATAATAACAACAACAACAATCGCGAGGTATGTGTGGGTTGATATTTACCCGATCCCATTTCCAATTCCAATTCCGATTCTGTTTTGACACCAACAACAACATTACATTACATTTGGGATACATTTCCATTAATTAAATGCAATTTGGGCGTTTATAATTGATGTTGTTCGCTGGTGTTGCCCCTTGTCGTTCACCCCTTTTTGGCATTGTTTGCGGTTAGTCACAAACACGTTGTTGCACTTTTTGAGAGCAATTGCCAAGTGTGGGTGTCAAAATGCAACTAGAATGCGAGTTTTGAGAGCAATTGAATGGTGTGTTGAGAATTCATACCATATGATAATATTTAAAAGATATTTTGATTTAAAGTTTTGTCTTTTGCCGATTATATCCGCTTGTGAGCAGCTATCAAACACCATCAGCTGCCCTTCTGTGCACAAGTTTAGAATTGCTAATTAGTTTTCTACATTTAACATTTATATATTTGCTAGTTTTGATTTGTTTATCGTACATACTAAAAGCTTGACTTGTTTTCTTGAATAAATTTAGCGAGGAATATTTAATTTAATTTTAAAATGTTTATTTAGTAACATTTTAGTAAAGGAAATATAAAATCATTTTTAACAACGCTATGAATTCCAAGCGGAATGAAACTAAATATAATTTATTGCCGTATTTTTAATTTTCCCTTGTGATCTTTGCATACAGTTCGCCAGCCTCATCATCGACTTTAATACCCCTTTTTAATACCCCTGATAATGGCCCTTTGAACTGCACCATCAAACCATTGTGAGCTCTGTCCCGGATCGTTCTCAATGGCTTATCAACCGCCACCGAATATGGCTTTTTTTAATACCAAAAAAGTGAATGAAAAGCGCTCGTTTTATTGTAATTTCCATAAAAATGTTACTCAGCGGCTTTTCACACATGACTTGTTCTCTGTGCGAGTGTGTGTTGTTGTGTGCTTTTAAGTTGCTTAATTTAAATAAAGTCAGAATCAACAACTTCGTCAGCGCCCCACTGATAACACATGTTGAATGATGCTGTGTAATTTTTATGTCGCAAGACAGTGACTACAAATTGTTGGTAGACTACCTAGAAAGTCGAGAATCTTTGGAGGCAATTTGCTGGTCGATTGGAAAAGGAACTAGAAAATGGAGAGAGACACAAGAGACGGCCAGAGTTGACACATTTCGTATAAATCACTCAACAGACGCCGTCGCAGCGAAAGCGGTATTGAGTTTTTTGCTTTTGGTCCGATGTCTAGGGAACTCATGATTATGATGACGATGATTGGGTTGTTGATTGTGATTGAAATTGTGATTGCATTCATCATCATTATGCCCATTAGCCGCATTCTCCGCTCGAAGCTTTTACCTACGCACTTTTACTTCTACCCAAGCTTCTCTGCCTGTCTCCATGTATCTGTATCTCGAAGATACTTTTGGCTTGCACAACTTTCGCCAAACACACAGATAGATCGCACGCTCCAATTGAGGTTTTTAGCCTCGTTCTCCATTCGAACTTCCCAATTCCCAAAATTGTTATCGCCACCTTTTTACATTCCTTTGTCTGTCGCTATTTTATCCGCATTTAATTCATTTTATTTGCGCCTGTTTCTTTGGGAATTTCTTATGCACACACAAAAATTTTAGCTTGCTGTTTTATTTGTTAATGTGTACAATTTTAGTTTACAGCTGAAAAGTGCGAGTAAAGCATGCAATTTACTTATTTGATTATATTATATAATGATGATTTAAAGTTAAAAATAATTAAATATATCATCATATAATACACCTTTTTGTTTTCTGTGCACATATATTTGAACAAAAATTATCTTTGAGGCCCCATTCAGTCTGCTGATGATACAGATGATGATGCTGAAAACAAAAAGCCACAAACTTTCGCTGCTTGCTTAGCAGATACTTTTGAATCTCTCTCCCCCTTTCGATTTCGTAAGCATTCCACATGTGCTATCCCTTTGTGTATCTGCCAGATACTTTCAATGCCTACATATCAGCTGGGGAAATTTCTCGCTGCGTTTGATGTCAAGGTTTCCCCGGCTAATTCTGACGATAAAGAGAGCCACTTGAAATGTTTAGAGAACTGCGTTTTTCTCCAACCCAAAACCTCCCGCTGTGTGTGCACTTCAAGATATAAAGATACAGAACAGGGGTGGAGAATTCTGAAACTGAGAACGAGTTGAAGAAACCGCCTCAAGGTCTCTCGGAAACGCTTTCGCTTTTTGTCGCCACTCGAAGACTGTCTGCCCTTAAATGGCCAGCATGTAACTAACGATCGGCGCAGAGGTGCAGGCAACTCCTATACCTAGCAGTTCCCCCGAATCCCCCATATATACCCCCGGAATAATGCATATGGATTGCAGTTGAGCTGGAGGCGCGTGTCTTGCATAATGGCCGACGATTAATGGGTAAAAAAAGAAGGAGAATGCCAGAGAGGAGGGAAGAGAACTGCTAATGAAAAGACTCCTTTTCTGTCTACCCGTTTTTTTTTTTTAGTGATTCATGGCATTGGTTCTCCGTCATTTAGTCAACCGTTCAGTTAGTCAATTACTAAAGCCACCGAGTACTTCCTTCTGGGAACGACCAGCACCGGATATCCATTTTGCATTTTGCAAAAAAAAAATAAATGAAAATAAAGCAAAATATGAAAAAATAATTTATGTTTCTCTTTGACAATGATGATGTTGTGAGGAGAACGATGATGATGATTATGCCATGCCTCAGTCTGATTAAAAGCAGACAACAATGCCCACACAAGAGGGAAAAAGTAGGGAGAAGGCGGTAAAATCGGGAAGGGGAACTCCAGACAGAGGACAACCCACACGAGACAACATGCCGAATGCTCTACTGCAGGAGAAAGACAACCCGATAAGAGCAGGTAGTGCCTGAGATCCTATATGCCAGATAAGTCTGCAACTGATAGATCAATGAATGGTAAACAAACCCAGGAAGAGGAGAGAAAGTAGCTATCGATAGGGCCTTCTGAGAAATGTTTTGAGGGTTAATATCAGTCAAAGATCTTGTTATGGGAGGTAGAAAAATGGTTAAGAAAATATCGCTTACTGTTTACTGTTAGATAATTGTTAAAACGTACTACAATGTGCGATAATACAGTAAAATGGATAATGGAAAATTAAACAAACGTGTGCTTCTAATACTCTACTACTCTAACTTATTATAAAAATACTTCCGGCTAGATTTTCAGACCCTAAGTATTTTACTTTAATTACCATAGCATTTTCTCTTAAAGCGTTACCAGTACTTCAATAATTTCTAAGCCGGGGAGGCTACACGTGTTTCTCCATTTTTATCGCCTGCCTTCTGCAACACCCCCTTTTCAAGCCATTCACATTGGCAACAATTGTTGGGTCTATACATACAATGCCTTATATATGTACATATGCATATATAGTATATATGTAATGGCAACAAATGTGATGACAATGCGGCATTAAAAAGCATGAAAAACCTAGCCAACAATTGTTTCGTATTTTGTTGCTGCTGGTTATTGTGTAATGTTAAAAGTTGTGTTGACGACATTGACTTGCCTGCATTGTTTTTGTTGTACCTGCTGCAAATGGCAGCGGTAAAAGCAACGAAAAAAAACCGAATATATATAAATGAAAATATGAAATTGCGTTGAGGGCGATACAATGAAAACAATTCTGTGTATTTGTGGTTACAGAAATGGAAGCTTTGGCCAAACATTGACACTAGCTTATTAGCTACCTTAACACAGTTTTCTGTGAGCTATCTTCACACTCTTTTTCGAACATGTTCACCTTTATCTTTTTCTTTTATCGCTTTGAAAGCGATAAGATTTTGGAGGTCTTCGTCTGCTTTTATTTGCCTGAAAAAATAAAAACTCTAGATAATTTGTCTTTTTTTAGATATACAAATTTAAACTGTAGATAAGGTCGCGTATTATTTGTGTTTCTTTTCTTTAATGATTAAACAATTTTCGTGTTTATACAAGAAAACACTTTTTGGCAGCTGCTTGGCTTATTTTATTTTTTTTTTGTTTGAGGGCCATCACAGACACACTTCCACCTTCCACAAAAAATCTTGACAAATTGAGAGCTGACAAAATTGCGACAGTCGATGTCAACTGTTGACAAATAAAGTGGTTATATGGCGAAATCGGTTCTAGCCAAGAGATATGTGTATACTATGCCAAGCCCACACCTTTTTACAGCTCGAAATTATGAAATGTTTCTCCCAAAAGTTTCACTCAAAAGAATCTGTCAGTCTTTGTATAGCTGTATCTTTTGTTTGCCCACCCCAAGCAAAAGTAAAAGTTGTTTCACTTTTCATTATGGACGGTCATAAATAAGCCCAGATATTCGGACTTAATATTCTGTTAATACTTTTATTATGTTGCCCATATTTTCACATTGTTTTCTATATGCAAACTATTTCGTTCGATATATTCAGTGTATATATTATTATACAAAGATTTTAATCGCTTTCGCTTTATTTGTTTCCCAGACAAAACAAAACAAATCGTTTCTATAGAAGCGGTTTAACTCAAACGAAAAACGATTTTTTAATGGCAAATTTGTGAAAATTGCTCGCGCTTATTTCAATTTGTAATTAATGAAAAATAGTTGCCATTGTTGCTATTTTATTGCAATTAACTTTGGCAGCCATTGTGTGTGTTCGTTTTGGCCTCCGATCGGCGAACTTGGCGCCTTTTTTCTTGCTGTTTCTAGTTGGCGACGCACTGAAGTTGCCAAATGTTATTGACCCAAATTGAAAACGTATAAAAAAAGAATAATACGCGAGGCAGCCATTCGAAACAGAACCAAGCAAACAGAAAACGCAGAAAACCCGAAAAAAAAGTACAAACAGTGGAGCTTGGTATAGTGGCTAGATGGCTCGATTTATGGCCACATGGTATACTATGGACTGGAGGCCGACATCGGGCAATTTATATTGCCTGACATTCTGACACGACTCGGGCAAAGAGTGAAAAATGCAAGTGGAACTTAAATTATATGAGGCAG